CGATTTCTTTTATTTACTATTATTATTTTTATTATTATTTTATCAATATTGCAAATTTTCCATTATTTCAACAATTTTAAAACATTTAAAAAAAAATTACGTTTAAAATGTTTTTCAACACAACAACTAACACAACAACTAACACAGCAGCTAACACAGCAGCTAACACAGCAGCTAACACAGCAAGCAGCTAAAACATCAGAACCCAGCCCACCCGACAACCAACACCATCTTCACAGCCAGTGAAAAATTACAATCATTAATTTTGACCGTGGTAGAGATGAGATTAAAAGGCATAAAATATGGCTTAAGCTCCTACGAGAATAAATCAAATTTTTCTTTTAAAAAAATGCTAGGATGGTAAGGTGATGACAAGAGAGAGGAGAGAGAGAGAGAGAGAATAGAAAGAGAAAAAAAGAAGAAAGGGAGCGAGAGAGTGAGAGAGTGACAGATAGAGGAAGAGAAAAAAATGAGAGACACATAGAGAAAGAGAAGAAAAAAGAGAGAGAAAAGAAAAGAGAGAAAGAAAAAGAAATAAAGAGAAATAGAGAAAGATAAAGAGAGAGACAAAAGGAGAGAAATTGAAGTGAAATTTTAACTAAATTAATTAAAATTTCTTATAGTTCATTTTTTAAAAATACCACATCGAGTTTTTAAATTTGTTCATTTGAAGTTGTCAAATTAATCATAATAAAATTAGTTAAATTGAAAAGTTTGAAAAACAATAAAGAAAATAACTATAACAATAGTGATAAAAAAATTGTTAGAAGCAAGAATAAAGCCTAACAAAAATACATCATCACAATCAGGTAGATAAAGGCACGTGTTTGTATCTGTATTAAAAGCAAACAATAATTCTCGCGTGCGTTGTATAAAATATTTGTTAATACGCTTAGGCAATACCTAATAATAGGCTTACATAATACGCAAAAATCCCAACAATAATATCCAATAGCTTTAATACTACTGGCCTTTCCAATTCTTAATTTTTGAATTTCAATAAAAATACTCACAGCGTTTTCGAACTCGGTTACTTCGACAGAGAACCATGCAGTTAATTAAATGTAATTAACTTTATTTGGATATGTTGCGCAATTTTTTAAAGTTATAAATCTCACTTTATCATAATCACTTTATTTCTCTTAAAGTAATAATAATTATAACCCTTATTGTAAGTATATAATAATCTAACTTTAATTAATGACATCTTGATCGTACAATAACTTTGCTAGTTAACCAGACAGAGCCAATAATATTTCGTAACTAATTAAGTATTTATTCAATTTACATAAAATAAAATAATCATCGCCAAAGTTAAGTGCCAAAGTTAGAATTGAGGAATACTTAATAAGGCTGAGTTAATTAATTAATTACTTTGCAGCAAAGTAATTTATTAATTAAATAATAAGAATGTATGACAAGAGAGGACAAGATTAACTAATTTACTTAATTAATTTGCTGGCAAAGTAATTAATTAATTAAAAAACTCTCTTCTTGAACATTCTTTTGAAATGCAGACCGAGAACTCTAGAAGAGACAAAGTGGCCAATAACATCTGAACCATATATAAGGACTCCAAGCAGTTGATTCAGTCATTAGTTGCTGATCTCACAACCTAAAAGATATCAACGCTTTCAGATCGGATCTTCCATCGCAAACTTTAACTTTCAGTCACTACAGCCTGACCCTTATCATTTCAAATTAAAAATGTTTTTTTATAAGCGAGAAGAATGTATGACAAGAGAGGACAAGATTAACCAAATTGGGTTTTATTCCCGGTCCATCGACATCTACTTAGATTATCCGGATAGAGAGGATGGAATACGACTTGTATTACTGTACCTCAGCTATCTGGATCAGATAAAGATGGATGTGGATTTGCTCCGAAGCACGAAAATCGGCAAACAGATAAATGAGGAAGTTAGGCCGGAAGGAGGAAGTATAGGCGAGGCGGCCACAAAATTGTGCCGGA